GGTTTATTGCAGGGGCTCAACAAGGAGAATGGGTGGTTCGTGTTCAAAAGACCCAAACTCCCCGATGGCTTTCAGGCAAGTGTTTTTAAAGACAGTGTTAGAGGAGAGGGTCATAGGATATGTGACCAGCTTGTGGACCTTCTTCTGATGAGTTCCTGGTGAGGTTAGAGGGTGGTGTTTCTGAAACTTAACCTTCTGGTTCCAACCAGTCTGGGGTCTGCATGCTTGTGGTCAGCATGTAGTCACCATCCTCCACTTGGGTGGGGGTCTTAGTTTCCAGAGAACAACTCAAAGGTATGCATCAGATTATTATCTATCTTCCTTTGGGAGGAACTAGGTGTCCCATGACTCTATTGTCCTAATCATTAACTTCTTGACCCTGCTCTTTGGAACTCAGGGAAGGCCTGGGAGGAAAAGCCTTTTTCTACAAACAAGAAACGGGAGACACAAAGGGGCTTTTGTACCCAGGAGGGCCCCACAGGGTCCTGCTTAGTTTCAATCCCCTCTTTTCTTTGATACTCCTCAGTCTTGAGGGGAACAGGTGTAAAACTAGAAAGGGAATAAAGTTTTGGATAGAGAGCTTAATCATAAACTCGGCAGAGGAACTCTGGTTTAGCAACACTCAACTTCACGCCAGCCGAGTGACCCCACAGCCTCTGCTTTCCCTGATTTGATTTGATGGTTTTTTTTCTTCCTTTCTTTCAGAGGGTCTTTTTATGCTTGAAGTCATGATTGAGGCTTTGGGTCCCACTGGAATACCAATTTTGTTTTTCTAGATTTAGTCTGTTATTTTTGTTATTGTTGGTTATTTCAGTAGAAAACAAAATCTTACTTCATTCTTTTATTAAGAAATGACTCAGCAATTGCAATGTGATGGGGTATTTTTCCATAATTTTCATGGATAAAAAATTTTAACTCTTTGTCTCCTTTAAAGTTTCTTTTCCCCCAGAATTTCATTTTTACTCCTTGGTTGACTATGTAGTTTAGATCCAAACTAGGGTCTATGATTATATTTTTAATTTCTCTTTAAGTGGAAATAAGTTAAAATTAGGAGTAGTATTGAATTTTCACCTCAAAATTCTCTTGTAATAATAATATCCTCCCCATTGCCTTCAAATAAAAAAAAATTAAATCCTACATGAAACAGATATGAATGGTTCATGTTTAATTCAAGTTAAGTGAAGTATGAAAAGGTTTGTTTTAAAAAATTGTTTAAATTTTAGTGATAAGAATTTCTAATTCATGGGCGATTGGGATTGACATGTATACACTGATGTGTATAAAATTGATGACTAATAAGAACCTGCTATATAAAAATATAAATAAAATAAAATAAAATAAGAATTTCTAATTCAGGAGCTGGAAGGTAGAACTGGAACAGGTGAGAAAGTGTCCTGGGTTTAGGTCCCCATTAGTTGTGAGATATTGGCCTCATCTCTAAAAGAAGGATTAGATTAGGCACCTTAGGGGCTACTTCTACTCAATTTATTTGTGACTTTATGAAGTTGTCGCTTTAAACACTGACTGGAAAATGATGTGCCTCAGGTTTCTAGTGATCTTTAGGTCAGCTGATTCCTAGCCATTCCCTCAAAGTCTGCCTTCATCTGGATCCTAATTTGGTTTGGCATTCTCTAGTGACGGAAAAGGCAACTCACGCTGGGCAGCCTCCTTTGTGGCTCCCCCATCAAAGGTTGACAGCTCAGCAGCCTTCCTGTTCCAGAGCACAGGACGCCTTTGCTTGGGACTGAGCTGAGGCTGCTAATTGTTGCACCTCCAGGATCTCATTTAAGCCCAAACTGCCATCCCAAGCGTGTATTATTCAGTCATCTGTCAGACCCATCGAGAATGGTTATTTCAGCTTGGAAGGGAAATTTAAAATGGAGGAGAAGTAGGTTGTTTTCTTTTCTAGTGTTATGTTATAAGCAGTTGCTAAAACAAAAACAAAAACGACCCTGTGTCTTAAGTTCAAAAACGTCACAGCTATTTAATTTATTTATTTCAAACCAAGAGCTGCTCAGTGCCCAATGCCATTTACATTTGAAATGTAAAGTGGATTGTATCCTGTCCATTCCCTCCCTGGCTGCTGATGGAAAGAACTAGGTGTTGACATGTCCTTGTAACAAATTATTCGCTTGAAGAAGATTCCGTGTCACTTAAGGAGTTAAAAATAGAGTGTAACATTTCTCAAACTGTGTTGGCTGAGGTGACTTCAGGAGCTCCCCGGGGCAGTTAAGAGGCTGCTCAAACTCCTACTTGAACAAGGAGGTTGGATGCCTTTCAAGATTTTTGGTGGGAAAAGGTTCTGCTGCAAATGGAACCAGAGGAGAAGCACAGGAGAGAGGGAAGGAGACCAGTAAGGTGGGGGGGGGGGGGATTAATGGTCCTTTGGGCTCAGTGCTGTAGTAGAAACATGGAATGTTCATTACTAGCACAGAGGCCAGGGGTGAATCTACAAAGTGAGTAAGCTTACTGGGGAGCTGGGAGTGAAGGGCATTCCAGGCCAAGAAAACACACCATCAGGGAGACAAGAAAACACACCATCAGGGAGACAACAAACAATGCAATACCTTTAGAGAACGCAGTTTAGTGTCCGGGACCACAGCGTAAGAGCAGGTGGGAGCCCACCAAGGTGGCGTGGCAGACAGGGGGTCAGTTCTTAGAGGTCCCTGCAAGACATACCCGGGTGTTCCCCTTTCCTGGCTGCATGGCACCATTAAAAGAATTTCAAGGTGAATCAGCTGTGTGACATCAGCCAGACCCTCTGTATTTGTCTGCAGTCTCCTACACTCCTTTAGTGCTTTAGTAGAGAAATAACCATTGTTTAAGGTATGATTTGTGGCCCTTACTTTAAAGACTTTCTATTCTCGAAGAGAAGCCAGTGACTCCTTTGTTAAGGTCACCATTACAGCATCGCAGACTTAACTGGGACCTGGACAACCCTGGAGGTCATTCAGTGTCTTATCAACAGAGGGCACTGTTGCTACTTCACCTCTGTGGGAGATTGACCCAGGCTCGGCAGGAAGTTAGTATTGCTGGCCCCTGGGTACTAAGTGGCAGTAGTACTACTCTCCCCACTCAGTCATTGTGAAAACTAAATTTCCAACTAATTTTCCTAAATTTCCTTGGGGTGGAAAGGGGGGGGTGTTAACAGTGACACCTACTCCCCCCCACCTCCGACCACTGAGCCCAGGCTCCCCACGTTTTGCAGATGAGGAAACCAGGGTCCAGATGGGTTACATAACTTGCTCCCAGTGAACCAGCTGGTCATGGGCAGAACCAGGCGTCTGGAATTCCGGTCCAGGGCTCTTGGTGTGGTAATGCTTCAGCCCCTTCCCTCAATTTCTTGAAAGTTGAAGCACGCCTGTGACCCTGTTAGGTTACTGATTTAACGTCTTCTTCTGTGTGCTCTTTTCTGAGTGAGGAGGAAAGGGAGGGAGCAGAATGGAGGTTGAAAGGTGAAGGAAGCACTATTAGAATCGGGTAGATCCATACACAAAGCTGAGATATACGAGAAGAAAAGGGGCAGGCAGCACCAAAGCTGTCTCCTCCAGCTTCAAGTGGACATGACTCCACTACCTGCTGTTGTCGTTCATCCATAAACATGCCACCCCATCTACGGGCTAGGCACCCACTATTCCAGGCACTGGAAATACAATGATGAGACACAGTTCCTTCCTTCATGAAACATATAACTTAAGAGGGAAGACAACGCTTAAAATTAATCACAAGACAGGACTATAAATAATTATAGCCAGCGTCTGCTGACAGCTATTCTGTGCCAGGTACTGTCAAGCACTTTATATACATTATCTCATTCAATCCTCCTTGCAATACTATGAGTTAGGTACTATCATTATTTCCATTTTTCAGACGTGGAAACTGAGGCCTAGAAGGTTAAGGGATTTACCTAAGGTCATGCGGCTGGGATTTGAATCCAGCTGATCTTGGAAGGTATATTATACTGCATAATAGCAATGGTAGGTAAAATGTATTGTAGAAGCCACATAGAAAATGCATTTAGAAGTAATGGATAGGGCTTCCCTGGTGGCGCAGTGGTTGAGAGTCCGCCTGCTGATGCAGGGGACACGGGTTCGTGCCCCGGTTCGGGAAGATCCCACATGCCGCGGAGCGGCTGGGCCCGTGAGCCATGGCCGCTGAGCCTGCGCGTCTGGAGCCTGTGCTCCGCAGCGGGAGAGGCCACAAGAGTGAGAGGCCCCGCGTACCGCGAAAAAAAAAGAAGTAATGGATATTGACCATCTTTACTACTGTCTGAGAGTCAGATGTAGACTTTATGTTTCTCAAGGAGCAAGTGCAGAGAAAGCTCCTCTTTGGGATTGCCCCCTCACCACACCCTGTTCTCTTTCAGTTCCTTGTGGTTGCTGCTTCACTGTGGATGCAAAGACCAGGGATACCTACTCTGGGGAAGCAGTTCCTTATGCTCAATACTGTCTCTTTGATCACAAATTCGGATTGATTGCTATCTGTTTTTGTTTTAGGCCCCCTTTTAAGATGAAGATAAATTAATAGTCTGAAGTGAAGAGAAGCAGAATCATATCCATTTGAGACTGTTACAAGATATTTTAATAATCAAGGAAACTAAAGTTTCTGCACATACCAAGTGTTTTCCAACGGAGGAGATGCTTATGTCTCCTCCACCCAGATCTAGCTCCCCTTCCATGTAAATCCTCCTCTCACTCAACCCCTTATCTAACACCTTGAAGAGGAGGTAAGACCAAATTATTCGACATTGTCTCTTTGATTTACCTTGACAACCACTGTGAAAACAAACCCAACAGACAAAGTGATGGAGATGTTTTACAAAATAAACATTAAATAGAGATTGATCTTCAAAGCATTTAAGATTTCTGTGTGTCTGTCTGTCTGTCTGTCTTCCCCATTGGCACCCTGTAACATTGATTTATGTAATTGTTCTTTACAGTTGAAATCTAATGCTAATATTACTCATCAGAACTGAATTATTTTTAAAAATTGTTTTACAGGGTCGTCATGTCAAAACGGGCCAACTTGCAGCCATCAAGGTTATGGATGTCACAGGGGTAATGTATCATTATCTTGCCGTCTCAAACTTATATATTTGTAATAGAGAAGTTAGTGGTAGAGAAAAATCATTTTTTTGGAAATAGAATCTTTTTAGACATCCAAGACCTTTCCCCACTTGTGCTTAACATAAACATTAAGAGTATTCAGCAGCTGACCGAGATGACCGGGGGTGAGTCACTCTAGTTAAATTAGATACCTACACACTGCCTCAGGTAGTCAGAGAGAAGAACATGTGTGCCAATACTTTACATAAACACAGCCAAGGACATTTGCAGGTGAAGACAGAACAAGGATTTGAAGGTATTAAGAGAATAATACTGAGATTACACAGAAGAGGTGGGTCTTAACAGTTTTCCCCAAAGTCCACCTAACGCTGGAGTAGACAAGAGTTTGGATAACTCTAGAATCCTAGTAGGATGTGTAACATGGATATTTTCCTCCCCAAAATGTTATAGACCAAATGATCACAATAACTACAAATACTTATTATTATAGAGCAACACTGAAACAAAATTTCTGGCCTGGATGATCAAAAGCAATCTAAGGAATAGACTTTATTTTAAATACAATCTTATGCTTTCAATCCTTTTTGCTAGGTCTATTTAAAATATTTTGATGCCTTTTCTAGAGTACAGAGCAAAAATCAGACTTGAAAGGACTTATTGGAAATCAAAAGCATGTTAATGATTTTCTATTGTCCCCAGGGATTTTTCTAAGATGTGTCAGCTGTACACAAAAGCTAAAAGACCAAAGTCTTCCGTTTGGCCCAGAAGTGGATTATTTAATGTAAAGAGATATAGAATGAATGGGTCACACAAAGGTATCAAGAACCAGTATACAAATAAGAAAAACACACAGTATGTCCGTAGGTCAGACTTCGGTCCGTACCTCCTCTGGTCCGGTTTGCTACCTTTGATAAGTATACATTATATGCTACACTATTAACCACGATACTAATCTCACTAATTTTCATTTATACCACACATTGTACTGTCTTCCTTTCCTTACTTATCTGAATTCCTTTTTAAGTTCTATGCATTTTAAAAATTATATGCATTTTTAACAAGAAAAAATTTTGTTCCCATATGTTTAGAAGAACTTAGATAAAGTAATCCTTCCTTTTATTTGTCCTAAATGCATTATTCAAATTTCAGAGCTTGCAAACCAGTTCAAATATTTCATCCCAATTAGTTTATTAATTTACCTGGCCTTTGAGTAAGAAAATACGTGTAGATTATATTAATAAGGTTTACGTTCTGCCACTTGCAAGAGAAAACTCAAAATAACAGAGGCTTAAGTATGATGGAAGTGTTAGGCTCTCTCATGTTAAAGGAGTCTAGGGGCGACAGTCCAGGGATGTGTAACAGCAATGTGGTAGAGTAGGCGGGTGTTTTTATCTTCTGCTCCATCGTTCTGACACATGGCTTCCACACTTAAGGTCAGTTCTGTGATTTAAGGTAACTGTTGGATTTCCATTGATCACATTCTTTGGCAGGCAAAAAAAAGGCAGTGCGGGGAGTGGGGGGGAGGGGCTGGGAGCAGAGGGTACAGAAGACAGCCCCTTCCAGTGAAATTTTTTCTACTCTCATACGTTTCTATTTACTTCTGCAGTCGTTGGCTACCTAGCTGCAAGGAAGCTGGGAAATGTGGTCTTTCATTCTACCAACCTGTCCAGTTAATTTGGGTTCTGTTATTAGTCAGGAATGAAGAGGGGATGGATACTTGTATTGTTAATTAGCAGGGTCTGACACAAAAATCAAGATCAGATACTATCAGTCTCTACATAGAAACCCATTAGAAATGTGTAAATCTTTTACAAAGCTCCCAGCACAAAACAAATCAGAATTTATTTTGCAATTCTGCTAAAGTCATACTACTGTATTTTCCTTGAATTGAATAGGATCTCCACATAATGTGATGCACTTGGCAGTTGAACAACTAATGGATGTGGATGGAGCCCAAGACATTAATTCTGTAAAGTTCTGTTGTGTGGGTCTGCAGACTACAGTTGAGTTCCATTGACGTCATTAATCTCAGTGTACAAAGCTGTATATTGATGCACAAAGTATGACTTGAGAGCATTGAGTATCACTTTTTCTGGTTCTGTTTGTGAGATTTTAAATTGTTCAAAGAATCATTTACTATTTCTAGACCAACTTGCTTGGAATCAAAAAAGTTACACAGCGATGTATCCCAGAGTATGTATTTTCAGCTTAAGCAGTGTCAGTCAGCCGCTCTAAACTGGGTTTCACAAGGCAACTGAGACCTACAGAAAATGATTTAGAGTCTATTTTCTCAATTCTCCCCAGCATGGTACAGAGCTAGCACCATTTTCAATGCATAGGAGAGTCAATCCATTGCTTACAATGGATGCTTTATAGTATTTAGGCTTAATTCTCTCGGGGGAACCTCTGTTGAAAGGGCTGGATAGTTCCTTGATTTAGGCACATCATTGACCATTATGTAACCACTGACCCCTAACAAAGGCAAACATGGATACACATCAGGAAATGGTTTTCTTATTTCCCATGGTGTATGATCCAGCATCAAATGACTTTTGTATCACCCCCTGACACATCACAGTCAACATAAAATTTCCTTTGTGAAACTCATGTGGTGTCCTTAGAAAACAATCTATTTCATTTTGTCATGTTGTCTTTTGTGTATTATGGAACGCTGCAAAAGCTTCTTACCAATTATTATAATTGTGCTCATTATAGCTGCTCTGAGATGAATTCTCAAAGGTCATCTTTGTGAATTGTTTGCAGTGATCTACTGTGAAGTTACTACAGTTTATCGTAATGAATTTGATAAAACTATAAGCTTGAAATCAATTTTTAAATTACTGTTTTCTTTCTATACCATTTCCTTTTTTAAGAGAAAATAACCATAGAGAAAACTGGATATAATGCTTATGTTCTTCTGTTTCACAGCTGAGACACTTCCAAATTTGCTAATATTTGCTTCAGAATTAGGGCTTAAACTCAGACTCAGTCTTTGAAGTTGTTTTAGTTTCTGAAATAATTATGAGAATTTCTGCATTTTGTCGCTTTCTGGGGATTTCTTCCCAGCTGGATTTGCGTACTTTAATCATCTAAACAAAATTGGGCCCTCTCAGGTAGTGTTCCTCAAGGTGGACAGCCAGCATTTACGGACTGTCTGCACCCCTGGGGTGTTCACCAGAAAGGCAGATTCCTGGGCTTGCTGCAGAATTTCTGGGTAGAAGAACCTGCCTTTTCTCCAAGCTCCTCAAGGAGCTTCATGCACACCAAAGTCAGAGGAACACTTTTCTAGGGACTTGTATTTACTGCTTTCTGGCTACCAAGTATGAAGAGACCATGATTCTTTGATAATCCTGCAAATAATACCCATCTTCATTTGAACCAAAATTCCTGATGTAAACTAGTCCCTTTATTACAATGATACCTTGAAGTCCATGTAGGACTTAGTAAGATAATAACTTACTGTCATAGGCTTTCATCTTTACAATGACTGGTTGTGATCATTACTCAGGACACTTTGGGTTGTAGTACCAAAGCCCCACTCAGACTAGATGAAGCTGAAAACAGAATTTACTGTCTTGTGTATATTTTTTAAAAAAAGAAAAAAAGCAGAAAAGGCTCAGCGAGATCTAGGAAGTCACATGACTGATCAGGAATTTTGTGTCTCTTCATCTCTGGGCTCTGCTTTCTTTCTACCAGCAGCTCCAGGCTCCTGTTCTAATTACTTCATTACCCTTAGTCCCTGCAAGAGTGCCAGTGTGAACTTCAGTGGCCCAGCTTGGGTCACCTCACTATCCGACAACCAAACCCTGTTTCTCTCCAGCCACGTCTGGGTTGGGTGCCTGACCCTGGAACCTACCACAGGGACAGAGAGCTGGAAAGGATTCCTCAAATAAAAAACTAAGAACTGTTAAAGGAAAGGGTAGGATAGATGCTGGGCAGGGAAAAACAAGAGAATTCAGTGTATTACTGTAAGATCAAATCATTTTAGTAGATGTATTTAAAACTGACTTAGTCCTTAAGTAAAGTGCCTCTGTAGTTACATTTTTTTATATTTCAGCCTGAAATAATAATAATGGTAGCTAACATTGATGGAGTGATTATTGTGTGCCAGAACTCTTTACAATACTTTCTGTGTATTGATTCACTGAATGCCCTTAACAACCACCAGACTCCATTATTAGTTCCATTATAGAGATGAGAAAACCAGGCATACTAAGTATCATGCTCAATGTAACATGTAAATGGTGGAGCGAATATTTCAACCTGAGTATTTTAACTCTACTTTTTAAGTCCACCCTGTTTCTCACACTGCCATAGGTCTTCATTTAACATAGAAGGACATTTAGTGTTTAATTTAATATTTATTTGATAAACATTTACTAAACACCTACTTTATGACCGACACTTGAAATTCAAAAATGACGAAGTGGTTCTTTGCCTGAAGGGGAGCTGACAATAATACAACCTTGCTCTAAATATTTGTAAGTAAAGCTAATCCATTTTATAATAAAGTCGTACAAGTCATAAATAATGTTACATATAAAGTTTGATGTGACCGTGAGGGGTAGTAATTAAGCCCAGGAGGAAAATCAGATGAGAACGTTCCTGGCCAAGAAAACCGTCTGTGCCAAGGCATGGAGGCTGAGAGAGGTGGAACATGCTCTGGAAACTATCACGTAGTTTAGTTTTAGTGTAAAAAATGTGCTGAGGAGAGAGTGATACAAGGGGAATCTGGACAAGTTAGGGTCAGGTCATGAGGGAATTGAATGCTGTGGCAAGGACATTACAAGGTTTTCAAACTTTTTAATTTTCCCAATAGAACCCTGAGAGCAAAGAGTCTTAAGCAAAAACCCCTTAGATAGAAAAGATAAGGCGGGTTGTTTTTACAAGGGGCGGGAGGCTGTCCTGGCCCCGTCCTCACACCACCGCTAGAGCCAGTGTGGAAGCCGGAAGTTAAGTAGCAAAGTAACAGGTTGGGATTTGCCTACTAG